GGAGATTTGATGTCTGGACTTCTCAGAGGCACCTTCACGTTAACCATTTACTGCATATTTTGCTACTAGGAGTGGCACTCAGCTGCAAATGAAAGAGGACGTTCCAGAGCTTTAACGTGAATGAAGTATGACAAAGCAGCCAAGAAGGGAACATGATACTCTTATAAAGATTGTCACGTATCCGTAATTTTGATGGGCGTTCACTGCCATACCAGAATTGAATTTTTAAAAGTGTCACTTCTGACATGCTATGGAAAATATGTTCACAGTTTTATTTTTCCAAGTGAAGTCCAATTGCTTGCCTTCGACAGTACTTAGAGATAAAAATGTTTTTAACAGTTGTGATAATCATCACTATAATAAAAACCAGTGGAAATATATGGAAATCTGGAAAATCTGGAAAAGTAACTTGTGACTTTTGAAATGGAAATTATTTGAAACTGCAGAAGCACAGCTTAAAGTTAGCTGGACTCTTGTAGTACAAAACTTGCATTCTGATCTTATCCCTATTTCAGATGCCTAAATGTGAACGGTAAAAATATTAACAAAATGTGACCTTCATCCTGTCGAGGTGTCTCTTCTGTGTTGTGCCATGCATTTTTGGAGTGGCTGAGCCACTTGATAAACGCAACGGCTTCACACAAAACCTCTGCTGATAATGACCAATAGCCTTTTTCACGTCTTGGCTCAGTTTAAAGAGGCACATGATCAATACTAGGTCAATTTCCCACTTAAGGGACAACTTCAACTGAGCCTTAAATACCTTGGACTCTCCACCAAGCTTCTCAGACGAGAGGTGAGGTATTTTTGAGAAACTTAAAGAAGTCCAGTTGCTTTTGTTTCTTAGATCACTTTGATAGGTACACATTGCTAGGTCTGGATTGAACCTGTTTTTGACTTTGAAAATTCTTCAAGGCATAGATTCAATCTGCTGCTGGAAACATTTCTCCAAGATTTTGGTTCATATTTACATGATAGCGTCACACATTTGCTGCAGATTTGCGTGGTGCACATCTATGATATGAATCTCTGTTGGACTGAAATCTGATGACTGTAGAGGCCATTTGAGTACAGCAAACTCACTGTCACGTTCAGGAAAGCAGTTTAAGATGATTTGAGCGTTGTGAAACAGCATTTTGTTCTACTAGAAGCAGCAATCAGAAACTGGGAAGATGAGATTTAACTCTTGATAGAAGGCAGGATAGGATAGGATATTCCAAATTCTCATCATACCATCCGAATTTTGTAGCAGAAATCAAGACTCATTAGACCAGACAACATTTTTCCGATCTTCTGTTATCCAGTTATGCTGAATCCATGTGAACTGTAGCCTCAGTTTCTTGTTCTTGGCTGATAACAGGAGCACCTGGCTGTACTCCAGCTGCTTCCGTCTGCGTCAAAGTTTGACACGGGCACTCAGATAGATTCGTCTAAATACCTTGTTTGTTACAAGTTACTGTGGCTTTCCTGTCTGCGCCAACCAGTCTGGCCATTCTCCTGACCACTGCAAAAAATAGGCTGGGTTTGTTGAAACTCCTTATCTCTGTTTCCCTTCTCATCACTATTTTCTGATCTGCCACCTCAGTAATTTAAAATGTTTGCAACTCTGAGACAATGTTACTGGAAACAACCTGTTCATGGTCGAAAGACTTGACTGGTACACATATGTGCACGATTTCTTCCTCCCTATATTATAATGCAAGCAATGCTTTTGTTCTTCTTTGGTTATTCATATTGACAGACAGGGATTCAGTACAGAGGTACATATGGGTCTTGCAGTCAGTATCCAAATCGTGATTCAATCAATGGCCAGAACCACAGCTGATGAAACCTGGGATCTATTTTTAGGTCCTTTTTAACAAACAGGTCTAATACAACAGCTCGCCTCCACTGCTGAGAAACATTAGAAAGCTAATCTCAAAATTGCTCTGCATTTTCTCCCAGATATTCCAGATGATTGTCTTAATGAAAGAGAACAGATGTGTTCTCTTTAAAGGGCGCACAATGTGGGGAAAAAATTAAACGCAGGAAGTAAGCAGACCTTAGACATAACAGCAAAATCGCTGTGCACAAGTGTTTGTTTTTGAACAAAATTATAAACTTCAAATCTTTCTGGAATGATAACATTTTTTTCTCAGAAGTACACAGTTGTGCCTCCTTTTCCATAAACGAGCACTTCGTCCTCCTCCCCCTTCCCTCACTATATTCCCACGACCATCCACTTCTATTGAACTCTCACCTGGCTGCCCTTGGCTAGCTTTGTGTTGGTGAAGCTAGTGAGTTGCGACGTCCACTCTCCTCTGTCCTTTGTAAAGCACAGAGCTCCAGACTTCTTAGTCTAACAGTAGAGAACACAGAGTAAATTTAGACTCACGGTGGGGCCGGGACATGCCATAAGACACTGTTAGTAGCCTCCTCGAAGAAACCAGCAAGTCATTCTAACTCCAAAAGTGCAGAATAGCTTGTGGAATCAGGTAGCATTACAGAAGAACTACTAATTTAGTAAAGAGACACATTTTGATTCTATGTCTGCCCTCTGGGTTTGCTACATATCTCTTAACAATCATGAGCATAACACCCATAACTGTGAGCCTGTTGTTGTGAGCCTGTTGCCAAGCTTCCAGACTCCTCACTAACAGGTGCTGAGGCCCAAAGCGCTGCTCATTAACACAGTTCATTTCACAAGCACCACCACATAGTCGTTACCATCCTGACACATTATCACCCAATTAGCGTGACCCTGTGTCACCAGGCTCCTGGTGCTGTTTGTCTGCAGACTTTCTCTCCTCGACTGTCACCCTGCATGCCACGCACTGTCAGTTTTCAAGTTGTTAATTCAAAAATATTTATGACGTGTTTAGGAATTCTGTATTTTTCGTGTGTATGTGTGAAACAAATGCACCATGTGTATAGTTAAGTTTGCAGTCAATTCTCAGCGGTGTCCATGCACATGCTTGCATTTTCACATCCGTTTGTGACTTTAGGTTACGTTCCCAAAGTTGGATGGCAACCATTTGCCTATTCATCATGCTGAACTATCCCAGCCTGCACCAAAACACACAGACTCACACACTGTTGTAGCCGGCTAGAACTGTGGGATGTTGTATGTGAACTGAAAGTTTGTCAGCGGTCTGGTGCCCTGAGAATCAGTGAAGGTAAAACAGCTTAGAGTTTTTTGCCAGTCCTTCATTTTTGGCTGTTTAATTTGTTAGGAATCACCTATGACCTGCAGCACTGCACTCTGAAGCCGATTTTCTGTCTCTTCTCCCCAGTAATGAAAAGCAGAGAGCAGCTCTGTCTTCAGCTGGTAATAAGAGCGCATTAGGTCCACATGGCTTGTTGATAGGCTCCCTGTTGTACACCCAAACCTTTGATCTGCACTAGAAAATGTACAGCGTTATCACCACTGTTATTTTACATTTAAGAAGCAGTGTGTTTGTGTCTGTACACAGTATTTTACATAGAAAAGTTTCTCCAGAATTGTGGTTAAGCATTGTTTAAATGTAGGTCCATGCCACTGGCTCAGAAAGTTTGAGTCTGTGACCCTCTTTTTACTTTGTCACAACCATGTGGATTACATTTGGATATAGCTTTCAGGTGTAAAGAATGCAGCTGTAAAGCTGATTGTTTTTGTTTTTTTAAACTAGCTGTTGTAAACACAAGTCAAGTTACCTTGATGTTTTGCAGGAACATGACAATAATGGTGACAATGTAGGGTCAAGTGAATAAGGCCCAGCCACACAGGCCTAGAGACTCGTTCATGACCATCCGCTAACCACCAGTCGTGTGTTCCCCGACTATTGGTGAGTGGTTGCTGGAGCTTGATGACAGTCTCTGGGAAATCAATTGATAAAGCCCCAGTGACATATGCCTAGAGAATGGTCGGTCATCCAGTGGCAACCACAGGTTGATAGAGAAAAAAGTGCAACCCCCAACCAGCTGGCAAAAACATCTTTGTAATAGCTTTGGTCACTAGGAAATTGTGGTTTGCATGAAACATGATAACTTGGGCCCAAGCACTCGCCAACTACTCTCTAAAAAGGAGGGAAATTGTAAAAAGTGTGGCACAAACTGGAAACTGAGAGACTCGCTTTCAAAATAAAAGTTTTTTTGAAACATGTTGGCTGCAGTGCTGAAGCCCAGTTTTCACTCTAAAAGAAGGCATGTGCCATTTCTGATTTGGGCAGATGTCCTCTACTTCCACTTTGTGATCTACTTTTTTGAGTATCGCTACATACTGCAAAACAGTAGTGTTTGCAGGCAAATCAGCCTCTTCCACATTATTTGCTAGCAACCAAAGCAAGCTTAAGGAAGTTTTTAGTGTAGCACCCTCTTTGTGCCCAATATCACCTAGCAACAGTCAGGAACCTCCAATAAGGACTCACCCACCAGTTGGGGAATACAAACATTTTTCTTGCAACCAGTGGTTTTATCAGTGGAGCAGGTGGACTCCAGTGAGTCAACAGTTATCTACCCTTCTCTCATCATGTCTTGTTTCAAAGCACCAGGATTGTGAGAGTCTCCATTTTAAGTGTGAGGCCTCAAGTGGGTACTTGGCTATGTTGACTTTTTATATAAAAAAAACCCGTAGTTTCAATTCAAATTTACTTAATTCATGTCCATTTGTTACATGTTGCAATTATGTTGTGCAGATATCTGATACTGAAAACTTGCTTGAAAGGTTCCAATCATTTGGAACCTTTCACTGAGTTTCCTTGCTAGTTGCTGCTTTTTGCAAACATTTGCAAACATTTGCAGTTTGTTGAGTCTCCGACCATAAATAAATTGTCTATGTCATAAATACTAAAAACGCACAAAAGCATCAGATACAACCCATGTTAATGCTAACTGGTAGTTGGCATTAACATCGACATCATCATCATTTTGCTAGTGGAAAATATATGCAAGACATCAATTCTTCAACCTTTTAAAGCATTTAATGTTTAAGCATTTAAAAATAAAAGTTTTGCTTTTCTACTTTTCATTTCCTCTCTTCACAGGATCTGAGTTCCCCCAAGATCCCAGTATGCAAGCTGCCACTTTGTGGAACACCTCTAGCGATGGTAAATGCACACCACACACACACACACACACACACACACCACAGATAACCCATGCATGACGTTCTTAACAAAGCTCACTCTGGCAAAACTATGAGCACATCTGTTAGAGACAACATGATGATGACATGTTCATAGTTCAAATTAACACACACAGTGTTGAACTGTAACCCCACATGTGCTGTTGAAATTACTTTAAATGAAGTGTTAAAAATTACACATCCTCCACATGGTTGACTTCAGCAACCCAGACACCCACTGCAGTGTAAGGCACTAGAGCAGATAATTGGCAGAACAAATTGCACATTGATCTACTCAACATATGGAAATACAGCCACAGGAGCATTGTATTTCTTTATATCTACATTTACTCTTTCTTAAGTGGAAAATACCAGTGTAGTCTCCAAGGTGCTGCTGCTTTTAGTACATCTTCTTAAACTTTGCATTTTGACCTCATGTTTATACCAACATTTGTGGGCTCTGGACATGCACTTGAGTACTTCTGAGGTCTTAAGTTTTCATCACAATGAGCACAGTCCTAACCCTAACCCTGACCCTCAACAATTAGAATATGTTTTTTTCTCCTTTATATTACAGTTTTTTCTGAATGCTTAAACCCTAACTGTGATTCCTGTAGCACAATCTCTAAAACTATTCAGACTTATAGCAAAACCACTCACTGAGTCTGCAAAACTAAAAGCACAAAAACTGCTTTGCACTCAGTTTGCAATTTTGTAACACACACTTTGCAAAACTGTAGGCACAATTCACTGCACAACACTCAATTACCAAATTTCCAACACACTCCTAGCAAAAGTATACACATGTATGGCTATCATTAACACTAATTTGCCAACTGTCTGGCACACTTTCACATGTGAAAACTTCTTTAGATAATTAGTTCACTTTGCAATCAGCCTAAGCACTATTATAATACAGGTAAGCTGTGTGTGCGGAGTACAATGGAGGGAGCAGAAAGAGTGAGAAGTAGAGGAGGCCGAGGAAGAGGACGTGGAGGTGAAGAAGTAGGATGAAGAGGACGACAAGGACAAGGAGGAGCAAGAGGAAGATGAGGAGGGGGGAGAGGAAGATGAGGAGGGGGGAGAGGAAGGGTAGGAAGAGTAAGAAATAGAATTGCTGATGACATCAGAGCTACAATAGTGGACCATGTAATCAACCGTGGAATGACCCTGAGGGTAGCTGGCCAACGGGTCCAGCCTAACTCGAGCCGCTACACTGTAGCAAGCACCATAAGGACATCTTGAAATGAGAATCGGTCAGTACAGTCACTTCGCACAAAGATTTGTAGCACTGCCATATGCCAATGAGAAACACACCAATACCATTGATGTAAAAATACTGAAATTGTTACTTTACAGAATTGCTAGATGACCAGATGCTGGGGGCAGAGGAAGCATGTTCACTGCAGACCAAGTAACCCATATAGTCATTATGGCGATTGCAAATAATCCTATACTTGGAAATAAACACTTGTGTTTGTTTTGATGTACTTGAAGTTTGGATCCCTCTATGCTTATGGATCTATGACAGCAGTATGAGCTCAAACTGACATAGCCTACCTTGTGCACAGAGAAAGCAAAAGCCAGATGTGTTTTGTATTCATACCATCAGTGTGCAGTTGGCGCATTGTGTGCTTAGTAGATGATGGCTTGTGTGTACTGTTTGATACGGAAACACCATTTTTACGAAGGTGTGAAGAGTTAATCTAGCTGTGTTTGCTTTTGCAAGAGAACTACAATGTTTTGATTATTGGGTGACAGGTTTTCTTATTTGTGTGTAGAGTTTTGCAAAATTAGCCAATAGTTACAAAAAATGTGCTTAAGCAATCAGAAAAAACTGTAAATTGTTCCACAAAGTCTTGGCAATCAGGGAACAAAGAGAACAATCAGCCCAAATGACATGCATCAAATCTATTCAGTTTTTTGTGGAAAAAATGCCTGTGTTTGTTTTTATATATAGGGATGGAGTTAAGGACAATATATGACTTAATTTCTCTTTGCACAGCATCCATTTTACTCTTTGTTGTGTCTTTAGCTTCAAGCATATATGGAGCCCTGGGTGGGCTTGTTTGTTAGAGCTGGCCAAAACACTTGGCTTCACAGAGGAACAGCACAGTAACTCTTGTGGTTCTGCACTGCATAATCAGTGTACTCCACAGTCCTCTCATGTTTGATTTGCACAGTTTTCATTTCATAAACGCAGATTATGGACATTATATAAACAGAGTTGGACTCTGATTCCCTCACTTGTCTCTGATTTTTCTTTCTAAGCAGTCATCTTAAGCATGGAACTGAGCTTCACCAGAATGTCTTCCTTCCTTGGTTACTTTGATTTTTTTTTCCCAAATAAACATTATTCCTTTATTTCCATTTCCATTATTCTGATTCCTGTACTGCTGATATGAAGAACATTTTAAAATAAAAGGTCTCCTCGTAACTCCCAGAAAATTTGCTGTCACAAGCTCGCTTGTTTGAGCATGGTAATAAAAAATCGATTGCTGACCAACACACAGGCCAGATAACTGTGAGTAACCTGCGGGCAACACTAGGCCACTAGGAAGAAAAAATGTATATTCCACAAATGGTTGCTGAAGGTTTGTTGGAGGTTGCCTGCTGTTGCTAGGGGAAGTCGGTCACAAGGAAGGGGCTGCATCAAAAACCTCCACATGATTGCTTTAGCTGCTTGCAGATAGATTCGTGGATTCATGTGTTCAATGACAAGTCCAATGCTTTTGCAAGAGAACAAACTTATCAGTAAGTACGATGTATGTGGGATGCGATAGGTTTCTGGGTACTTTCTCAACGTCGTTGCCCATATGTATCCGTTAAATTGCACCCCCTCTCCACAGTTTATCTTTGGCCAGAAGAGCAAACATCTGCCTCTCACAAAGAAACACTGACTGGAAAATGCTCAACTTAAAGTTTGTATTTAACTCGAACCTTAGTTTGGCTCTCTCATTTCGTCTGGTTTGCTTAATTCATCTCTCGAAACTCCAACTCTCCCACAGCTTCGTTCCCACAGAAAATTCTGTGTACACAAAAGCAGACACACACCAGTTTCTGGACAAGACTGAGCAGTTTAGTGAAGATAATGATTATGTTGACCAATCAAGGATTTTTCAAAAACAGTCATAAATATAATGAGATCCAAACAAATCATCCAGAGAGCTTTATTTTTCCACATCATCAAATATAAAAACTATAAACGTAAAGTATATGTGTATGTGTTTGTCATTTAGTGCTCAGCCCTCCTGTGCTTACATCTGTTTCTTATCTGATGGATGGAGGGTGATTGCACCCCTTGTTTTGTCTGCAGGCGGGGATGGTTTTGATTGACCAAACAGGCACAATTCAGGTAGCGTGGCTCTATCAGTATGCATCAGTAGCAGGAAGTTATCGTGCTGAAAGAGGCTCATTACTGGGCTGAAATCAGGGGTGATGATAGTTTACTGAACTCATTTCCCTGCAGGCTTTCTTTCATTATTGCTCTCTGTTTCTTTGTTTCATTTTGTACCCTTTTTTTTCTTTACTTACTTTCTTTCCTCTGTTGCTTTGCTGGATAGTGACCCAGCTTTAATTAACTTCACCTTTACCCACAGCTGGAAGCTGGAAGCACTATAGTGCGAGGCCTTCAGTGTATCTGTTGAATATGTTTAGTTAGCTTTGCAGCCACTCGTGTTTCTGAACCTGCATTTTGTTGACAGGAGCCCCGACGGTCACACCCTTACTGTATGTATGTTCACTGAAACCATATAGAATACAATGTCGTGAAAAGGTACTGAGTAATGTGTGCAGTTTTCGAGCACGTATAGTTTGTCTCCTTGGCGGTTGTGTGGGTGTGCGGGTGTTTACATATATGTGCCTGCATGTGAGCGTTTGATTGTGCAAAAACTACTGCAAGGAAAATGCAGGCTGATGACAGGACACCATTTAGCTCCCCTGCCACATTAAAGGGACAGTCCGCAGAAAGGGTTTGAGTTTCAGCATCCTCCTTGTGCCAAATACCACAACACTCACCACGGGACAATTACATACAGAGTGGCTTTGTTACACAAGCATTGGCAGGACATCTTTCTCCTCCTTCTCTTTTTTCCTCTTGACCTCTCTTCTTTTGTCTTCTCCTCTTGTCTCTTTTTCTTTTTTCGCTCTTCGTTCTGCTCCCCGCTGCTTTATTATGAGTTATTATAACGGCTAATGAAGTGTGCAGGCACACCGCTCCAAAGAGCATTTTTATTTTCCATCAACTCAACTAATGAAAATTCATGGAAGCAGTTGTACATTAGGCACCAGCCTCTTGTCAATGGAAAAGCAGTAATACGGCGTAGTCCACTCACTAAAACAGGGTTGCCAAGCATAAGGCCTGGGTGCCAGAATCGGCCCACCAAAGACTCCGATCGGGCCCAATGGATACCTTTGGACATTTTGAAGAAGGGCATAAATTTTGGACTTTTAACTGTGTTTTCATACATTTGAAGGTATTTCCTCTCCAAGGGCATTCATACAACAACTAAGTAATAAAGTTATAGATAAAAAATTAAATGACAGAAAAGTTCCAATTTAAAATTAAAATGGAAAATATTGGGCATTTTCTTTGAATCAACAGTAAAGCTGAGCAGTGAGCTACCAGAATATTTTCTAGCTGTTAAAATGATACTTATTTGTCTCATATTAAGATATCTGAGGTGTTAAACTTGTTCACACTGACTGAAAGGGGAAACTTGAGTGGCCCAGTCCACTTGAAATCTAAGTGGGTTGTATGAGACCCGGGATTTGACATCCCTGAAGTACCAGATTACTGACATTCCAACATTCAGTACAGACAGAAATCATAAAAATTGCAGTAAAATGTAAACTACGGAGAGAAACAGAGCCCGAAGCAAACCAAGTATCAGGAAATAGGCACATTATGCCAATAGCGTAATTATTACTCCTTAAGTTTAAAAGCTGTCTAACTGCTTTAATGAATGCTTTCAGACTCATAATTACTTTTGAGAAACAAATCAGCAACAAATTCCAGAGCGTTTTCTTCTCTTTAACCGATTTCTGGACTTCCAGTGCATTTTGACTGAACGGCAGTGATAGATTGCACCACACTTGAGGTCAGAGCACATTTTTACCTTTTGCAGCCGTGAGAGGGTTAATGCGACAAATTGAGTATACACAGCGCTCCACAGTGAAGTTAAATAAGAAAATATCATTGCCTAATGTGCGTGAAACTGGACTTAACAGACACGGAACGTAATCTCGCCACCGATCTCGGTATGTTTATGGTCGTCTCATGACTTTTAAGATCGTTAGAAACAGTAACATAATCGGATTGGACAAATTCAATTTAAAAGTAAAACAAAACACAAAGTAGCAAAACGGCTGGATAAACAAGTTATGAAAACCAACAAGTGGCACGCGGAGACGGCTTCACTCGGGGAATATTTTCTGTTTGTGTGTGTCGTTGTCATAGATAAATATGAAACAGGTTCACAGCTTTCGGCAAAGCCCTGTGACAGAGCATTGTGTCTACGTGATGTCATGCTAAAGCATTTCCAGTTTTTATGTGTGGAAATGAAGTGCACACATCAGTGGTGGAGTGGAGGAGTAAATAAAAAGGAAAATTGGATGAAGGTTTACAGTCATTGTTCCAGCTGACTTTAAAAGCATCGACCTCCTGAAGGGTTTGATCTCGCTGCTGTAATGTTGAGACTGTGTAGAGCACATGAAGAAAAGAGGTCATATTAAGGTTGGTGAAAAATGGGGAGAGGAGACGGTGGTGGGGTGGTACTTGTTAGTACCACAGTGCTGTGTTAAGCCCTCAGTCTTTATGGAAGAAGCTGTGAGTGTGTGTTCTACAACCTGCCAAGCACATGCACTGAGATAGAGGCCATGTGCTCAGGTTTTTACACCAAACACTCAAAGAACATAAAGTAGACACATTTTTTCCGATGACTTCTCTCTTCTTTTACAAAAGCCTTAAACAAAGACTGCCCACGATGAAGCTCAATATGTAGGTGGACACCTTTTGCGTGATTGCAGTTTTTCGTCTTACACTGTACACGTTTTACTAAGTTACACTACACATTCTTCTGCCTGACTGCCCCTCCAACTTTTGTACAGACACTGCATCATCATTCCACCAACCACAACACAGGATGCTCACAGTGAAAGAAAGCTGGCCCGCACTCCAACCCAAGTAAAGTTTATTCAAACAAGGCTGTAATATGAATGAGCACTGTTTTATGCAGTTCTTCTATCACCAGCATGTTCACCTTCATAGACGTCGATGTTGATACGGTTAATTTTCTGACCGCTCTCTAACATTTTTCTGTTAACATTCCTTGGAAAAGCTTGAAGTTAATCTTGCATGGAATACAGTAGTAAAAATCTGAGTGCTGGTGTACTCGCACAAGTAAGTGTGCGCCTCTATTTATACCCATCAACCTCTCTATTCACACACATCATTTTTCATTTGAGATTCTTCTGTAGGCCTATGTGCTTTTCCTTATTTGTTTGTCTTGGCCAGTTTGTGTAACCAGGAGCATTTCTGCATACCTAACACAGGTTTTGGGGTTGAGAGAACTTTCCAGAGGTTTTTCATGACATTAAGACCAATGTTTTTCCTGCACATTAAACTCTTAGGTGGCCCTCCAGATAGTTTTTTTTTTACTGACCAGCTTAAGGGGAAAAATACGGTTCTGGAGGGAATCACGATTTAGTTCTTCTTTGTATTGCAGTGTGTTCTAATAGCATTACCCTTCATGAATTGGTTTCGATGGCGAGGCACTTTTTGCTCGCTGTAATCATTCCTCTCATTCATAACAGTAATCAAGAGCTGTTTGTTTTGACTGTTTGAAAACAGGCACGAAACACTGGGAACCAGTCATTTTAAATTTGATTCTTCTTTTTTTCGAAGACCGCAACGCAGGTGATATTGCCTCATGAGCTCATACACATAAATCTGAGGGGGAAACCCTCTGGCATCATACAGCCATGATGAAAAGAGAAATTAGGTGTCACAACAGTGGCAACCACAAAATAACTTGTGAAACCAGGCTCTGAATATGTGTGTCTGAAAACACGGAGTTTGTTTTACCGCGTTTCTTTTTCACACAGCAGCATGTTTTATTTAATATCTGGCTCTGAGGTAGTACAGTAAGTGTTGTTTGATTTATGTCATCGTTCTTGGCTGTGTAGTACAATTTTCTTGATTTTCTTCATTCATGGTCTTGTTCGTACATACATATATACATATACACACATACACATACATATATATATGTATATGTATATGTGTGTGCGTGTGTGTATCAGGTATAATAAATTGGCTTTGGCTTCAACAGGGCAAAAAATCTAAAACTTGCACTTTGCAGTTGTTTTTACTGCACTACAAACATCTTTAAGTACATTTAAAAAGAACAAAGAAAATACATACATTTCATAATCTGTAAAGAATGCATGCAAAGGGCATTTTTCTTCTAGTCACCTCCACACGATCACCATCTGTCTCTTCGTTCTCTCTCTCGTATTCTTTTCTTTTATCCTACCTACACTGCCTACCAGGACCTCACTTCATCCGCCTCGACGCTCCCATGAACAACATAACCACCTCCGTGGGCCAGACGGCCGAGCTTTTGTGTCGTGTCTCCGGAAACCCACCACCCACTGTGCGCTGGCTTAAGAACGACGCTCCTGTGGTACAGGAGCCGCGGCGGGTCTCCTACAGGTCCATGCTGTTTGGATCACGCCTCCGCATCCGCAGCCTGGACACTACTGACACGGGATACTTCCAGTGTGTGGCCACCAACATCCAGGGCTCTGTTTCCACTACGGGCGTGCTGTTTGTCAAGTTCGGTGAGAAGACTTTGTTACCAGTAGCATCTAAGCATCTGTGCATCTCAAACTGATAAAACAGCCAAACTTTTAAAAACTTACTGCCGTCCATTTCCCCCCCACCTATTTCTATTTCTTTTCCTAGAGATCTGGCTCCTCATAGCAGCACTCATCTCCGCTGATTCTTCTTGTAGCTGGCAGCTTGCACAGAGAAAAATCTGGAAACAATATTGTTTATCCTGTAGTAAAAAAATCCCCTTGTCTTCTTTTCCAGATCCAGATCCGCTCCCTACGTCTCTGCCAAAAGAGCCCACGTAAGTCGCTTTTCCTCTAACCATTTTTCTCTCTGTCAGTCTATTCATTACCACAATACAAGGGACAGCTTCAGATAAGTTCGTTTGTGAGCAGATCCCACAGACAACTTGCAGATTATGAGAGAATTGCATTTTACATATTGCTGGAACTTTAAAACTAAAGAAAGACCTGCTCGTGCATGTGTCACAAGCACCTCATCGGTTTAGGTTAGTAAAACATGCAACTTGCAGGTCTTATGAACCAAAAAGATAATATACACTGTAATTTTGTTTAATATTTACTCTGATAATTATTTTAACTAAAGACACATATTAGTGTATGGAGCATTCCTACTTCATACTGAAGTCTGCACATGCAGTTTTGAAAGTGGAAAACACAGCGATGATTTGTTTGTCCAGCTACAGCAATTCAATGCTGGTTTGCAAAGAGCTACCCTAAGACGTCCTATAAAGCATATTCATTGAGTAATCACTCACTTTATAACATGGCCTGGTCTGTAATTTTCCATTTTATTGGTACAGGTCTCATGGGGAACTAAATGAATATTTAATATGAGCCTTTAAAGCTCAGATCTCTCTTGTTCTAGAAAGCTTTTCCACCCAACTGTAGACACGCACATGGTCCATATTTGAATATTTCAGTCCACGGTTTGGAATGTGGACTGTTGGGCCGTCACACACACACACACACACACACACACACACACACACACACACACACACACACACACACACACACACACACATGCACACACACACACACGCACACACACACACACACACACTTGCGCGCAGAGTTTGGGGCCCAAAGCAGACACTGACGCACACAGTGCTTTGTCTCTATATAGCATCTAATACACTGATGCTCATATTGGAGAAAGTGGGTTACTTCACTTACACACACAACAACTTTAATGAGCAAACAGGGTTTGGTTCATAATGTTAACAAATGCGAAACCTGTGCCATTCATTCAGTTTTAGAGGAAAACGAATAAAAATGATCCAGATCCATAACAGAATGCCCACAGTGCATCACTCCACCAAGTTTCATGAAATTGGACCTGCTGTTTTTTTGTGTTGACAGACAAAATGCATTGAAAGCATTGATCTGATTTCTAGTCTATAATTAAGTTAGAAAGACGAAGTTTGACAACCTCCCCCCTCAGTATATACATCAATAACAATAGTGTTTGACAACTATTAGAATAGTTTCCAAAGGTAGCTGCATAATCAGAGCCCACCTTCACTAACTTCTGATTACAGTCATTCTGCCCTGTAAGTGGGCCTTAAAATTTGACAGAAACAGCTGAGTTCAGAAAAGAGCAGATCCAGGAGTATAAAGCGAGAATGAATTCTGTCTTCTGGTGACCTTGGTCGATTACTTGAACTCTCCCTTAAATAATGCTGTCTAAAAAGACTTGCATATTTTGTAAGTGGTTTTTGTTAAATGATACTTTAAAGTCACCTAATTCGATACCAGCAGCAAACGCACCCATAATGCTAATCCTCTAATATGAACATGCAAATAAAATTAAAGGAGGCAAATAAAAACCAAGTTCTACAAAATTCTTTTAGACAGCATCAAAATACGTTCCATAAAACATTTTCATGTTCTTGCCCAAATCAAAATTTTCTTTGTGTCTGGCATGCTTCCTTCGTTTTGTTTTAACGTCTCCCCGGTTATTGGATAAAACCTCTTTGAATTTTTTTCAGTTCGTTTGATTCTTGCAGGATCAAAAGAGACGAAGCTGGATGATTTTCCCCAATGACATTATGGCGAGGCTCGCTGCCATGTTCCATGCGGCGTCCTGTGAATCAAAACTGCTGGCACAAAACGCATGTCAGACACTTAGTATATCCAGTCACACGCTGGCATGAGCGCGGCCTCATGCACGGCCTCGTGCACACGCGCCCCGCTCCCTCTTAAAACATCTGTTTCTGCCGTTTCTTTTTGTTTACATGTTTTTTTTGGTGTCTTCCTGTGCAGCCAAATTACAGCTTTCACAGATGATGCAGTTGGTTCACAAAAGAATCACAATGCACTTTCTCAAGGGAAACATCAATAAAAAGAAGAAATTTCAAAGAGACTTTTGGCTTCGCAGTACGGTCGTGCTGGAAATAAACTGAAATGGAAAATTGAATGAGATTTCAAGTAGGAGGAAGTGATTTTAGCCTCCTTCTGCTACATACTGACATTCACTCACCAGCCACTTCATTAGATACACCTTACTAGAGTTTGATCGGACTCTCTTTTGTTTTCAGAACTGCTTTAATTCTTGATGAGCAAAGTATGGTCGATTATACGATGCTGTCACGTCAATATGGACAAAAATGGGAGGAGGAATGTTTCCATGGCCTTCCTGAAACTATGCTATGAGGGGAAAACTAAGGCAGGCTGAGATATTTAAACAATACTTAATTGGTGGTAAGGTACCCAATTTGTGCCAAGAAAAACCAGAACACCACCAGCAGTTTGAACAATTAGTACAAGGCAAGATAGAAAATTCTGACCATGCAGTGTGAGCGTTGTAGTTAGAAATTGCGACTCATCAGACCTTCGAACATTTTTCCAATCTCCTGTCGTCCCATTTTGCTGAGTTGTGATTTTAGCTGACAGCAGTGGCACCTTTTGTGGTCTTCTGCTGCTGTAGCCCTTCAATGTTTGTGTTGTGTGATCAGAGATGCTCTTCTGCATATTTTGGGTATAACAGGTTTTTCGTTTAAATAGTTCTTTTTATTTTTTTAAAACCTACTTTTATTCCTTGTTGTCGGTTGATTGTCACCTTATAGTCACAAAGTAAGTATCTTTTCTTATTTGTGTTACTTCTCCTTTCCCATTAGCTCATTCTCCACTGCCCTCTAACACCAATAAGGCATTTTCTTTTTTTGTGTGTCATTTTCAGACCGTTCTCTGTAAACCCTAGAGATGGTTGCATGCAAAAACACCAGCTGATCAACTCTTTCAATCATGCCACGTTCAAGTCACCGTTCTTCCCCTTTTGGATGCTTGGTTTGAAACTAGCACTTGAACAAGTGTATGTTATTATAACTGGGACAGTGCCAAACATTCCAGTTGTCACACAAAACCACAATTTTCAAGCATTCTAGTTAAAATACACCCATATGCTATGTATAAAAGATTTATTTTCATTGTCAAAGTATCATTTTAAACCATGAGGTTTCTGCTCTTGCATCATAGTCACACATCATTTTATGGTAACGTTTGTTAAGGTTTATAAACTGCTTTCAAAGGCTTTATACTAGTGATAAAAGTTGGCACAAAGAAAACTTTGATTCAGCAGAACACAGTGATCAGCCTGAGCCTTGAAAAGCTCATCGAGTTAGCTCTTCAACAAACTAGACACATTGTACGCCATGGGTGTGGAAGAAATTACCTTCTCCTCACCTTGTTTTCTTTTCTGTCGACTTTTAAAGGAAAGGGTTGCAGTCAAGCGGAAGCAGCGCGAGCTCGAGTCATTACAGTCATTACAGCCTTCATTTAAATAGACAGGTGCCTCCTTTGACAACAGTGGAGGTGCGGTGGCGGCGGGCTGCTGCTCATCATTAGTGTCACGGCCAGCTTATTAGCTGTAAAGTTAGGGTGGCAGCCATCAAGAAGACAAGTTCACCTAATGATGACACTTGGTGACCTTTGGCCACTTACCTCATACCACAGCTGTTCAACAATCAAAACGTCTGCTCCTTTAGAGTTATCTGAAAGACATCTGGTTTAGAAGCTTGTCAGTTTGTGTGAATTGTATTCATTTACCCTGCACTGTTTTTTTTTCTTTCTTTCACCTCCTGCTCCCAAGAAGCTGAAAGTGACAGCGGTGTTGTAGGGAAGAATTATCCGCAAGTATTGCTCATAAATTTTGGGGAAAATTTCTCGCCACCCACCTTGTTGAACCTGAACGCAAACTTCAGGTCCTCTGTGCTGCCTTTGCTTCAGCCTGGGCTGAGATTTCCATCCCCTCTGAGCCGAACTAAAAAGTATACACTCTGTGGTGTGCAAAGGATTACAGTGTGTGTCCCGAGGGTTTGGTTTTTAGTGCGGAGAGCCTCGAGGTTTCAGCTCACAATCCAAGCAGTTTGTGTTGAATGGAGCTGCCTGAGACCAGAGGAAGGAAGTGCAGTAAAGCAGGTCTGAAATTAGGGGGGGAAAGACACGTAGATGATTGAGAGATGGAAAGAGACATCTTAAAGTTTAAAGCATGGCATTTTGGAATGTTAAAGGTTTGGTGAAATGAAGATATTTCAGGGCTTCTGTCTTTCCAGATGCCAACAGCTAAAAATGAGCAGCACCAATAGATGGTCAGTAATTAAATATGGATATGTGGCTATGCGTGGCATGTCTGTTTACTTATTCTTTCTGTTTCTGTTGTTCCAGGTATGGAACAGTGGAAACCTGAAAATTGTTTTAATTTTCAGGTTACAGCCGAAACATTATGCCAGTTTCGCAACCCTCTTAATCGCAAATTTTGTCATTTTAGGATACTTTTGCTAAGAGTTGGATGAGATGAGTTATGTGTACATGATGACCCACGGCACACTGCTTTGCAGCCACTCCGGTTAGGCAGCTTTACAGCCGCCTCTCTCCTGTGTAGTACACACAGCTCTCCTGTCAGGTCCCGGCATCCCACTCAAATAGGGAAGGCATAATTATACCATGAAAATCAGCTGTGTCAGTCAGCCTTCCCCTGACACCACCCCTCCCCTACAGCTGAGCCATGTACCACACCCCACCACAGTGTATATGCACATTTTTAATATTAACTTACTGTAAATTAGTGTTCATTGGTAGTGCCTGTAATGTTATTTTGTCTTATGTGATGGATATGTTGCACGAATCAGTTGTGTTTTCATACACCAGCGAAGCAAGCAAGCGCCGCTGCTCTAAATTTTAGAAATTCGATGTAAAACGCGACGTAGCTTGCGGCCAGTGCAGCCAGTGCAGGTGGCCAGCAGGGGGCGACTCCTGTGGTTGCAACAGACAAGTGTGG